ATGGGGATAAAAGTATTTTAATATAGACTTCTCGCAACATCTAGCCACATTTGTGAGAATCCATAGTTTATTTTTAGTTCTAGTCTGTAACATATCACATTTACAAATCGTTAAAAGACTCCTTAAAGCATTTTCATCCCAAACCATTTGTTTGGTTCAATATTAAGTTTCTGTCATTGTGCTGGAGGCTCCATGGTTAGCTCCCCCCATGCCTTCCCAAAATAAGGTTTGGAATTTAAAATTTAAAAACACCAGATTAAAAATGCTGTCTGAAAAACTTCAAAAAGAGGGTGATAGAACTGTGTCTGTCTACTGTAGGGGGCCATTCAAGAATGAAATCAGCTAGGACAGTGGTGGCGAACCTATGGCACGGGTGCCAGAGGCGGCACTCAGAGCCCTCTCTGTGGGCACGCGCATCGTCGCCCCAGTCCTAGGCTTTCAGCTGGGTTTTATAAAACCTTTTCGCTTTAGGCCTCCGCCGCCATGTGCCAAAAAAAAAAAAGGTTCAATCAGTCAATTTCAACTTCTCGCAGAAAAACAAAAGTTCTTGCAAAGTTGGAATTGATTGATTGAACTTTTTAGTCCCACCCAGTCTGCCGTTACCACTGCAGCCATGCTCACCCAATTGGCCACGCCCACCCAATTGGCCACACCCAGCCAATGGGCCACACCCACCCAGCACTCGACGATGCATAAGTGGGTTTTGGGTTGCAGTTTGGGCACTCAGTCTCTAAAAGGTTCACCATCACTGAGCTAGGAAATACCCAGAGGGTATCCCAAACAGTGAAACAGGGGTAAAGAAAAATGTGAGTTGGCATGGTCAGAGAACAAACCAGCATCAACAAAATGCTCAAGGTTGCAATAATGCAGCAGACCTTTATTAAGTCTGAACTGGAAGACCTCACCTTTTACTTTTCGGTCTGCCAATAGATCCAAATGTGACATTACTTCTGTGAAATCATCCAAGGTCCTCTACAGCTTCTCTGAATATGTCTCAAGTTGTGTCTTTTCATTCTCAGATCTGTGAATCAGGGAGAGAACACCGGAGTAGACAGTGTCTGCTGCTACCGTAAAACCACCACATCTCCCCCGTTTGATCGAGTGAACATATATCGCAAATTCATAAATGAGACCAACGGTTTCACCAAGTTGGAGAGATACAGCCTGGACCCAAACAGTCTTTTTGTTAATGGTAAGAAGCAGAGATTTCTTTCATGACTAAAGAGATTATGAGGCTGGCCAGCACTGAATCGAGTCTGACCAGTGTTATGTAACTTAAGTGGTAGTTCCTCTCTGTGACACACGATGGAGAGATGCCAGAGGGCTACAAGAGTTTCTTTAGCTCTACCAAATTCAGGCTACAGAAATGTAGATGACCAGTAGATGGCAACATGTTTATTAACCCATCATGGTCATTTGGAATTTTGCAGTCCAGAGATGCTGGCTCTGTTCTTCTCAATTATTATTATTTTTTACGCTCTCCCGGGACCTTCTTATAAATAATCTTTGGACTAGGTGACCTACTTTAAAACTCTGCTATTTGGGGACCTTCAGGATAATTCACAACCCTACTATTTGAGATTTGTTGATATGGAGTAGTTGGAAGTGTGTAGGAAGAATTTATTGTATCTTCTTTTTCTCATGGTGGAGAGCTTGAGAGTGACTTCCAAATACCAGTGTGCTCTTGTTTCTTCCTTTGTGACTCTTTCCATTTTTGCAACTCTCTTTCCATTTCAGATTATCATGAAGCACCACCTCCGACCAGTAAGTACACCTTTACAGAGGTTTCTTGAACCATGGACTGCAACTGTGGTACACAATCTAAATGTTGCTGTTGTCCCAAGTAATCCAATTGTGGAGCAAGTAAAGTAGTATGCTCTAGCGGCTTTTGCCACAGACAATGTCGGGAAACCACAGGGATGTAGAAGCAGGTTAAATATTAAGAAGATTTTCCAAACAGTAAAACCTGTCCTAAATATACCGATTGCAGAGCAAGTAAAGCAGTATGCCCTAGAGGCTTTTGCCATAAATGATGGGCGGAAACCACAGGGATGGAGAAGCAGGTTAAATATTGATATTTTCCAGACATTACAAGGCTCAACCAATGTAGCATGTCAATTCCCAAGGTGGTCTGTTCAGTAAAGATCTTGAATTGTGGATACTGATTTCTGATATTCCAACTCTGATTATGACCATTTGGAATTGTTCTGTAACACTGAATGAAGAATCTGCCTTGTGAATTCATTCAGGATCTTGGGTCAGCCCATGGCCTTCTGTATAGAACTCCTTTACATTCTTGAAAAGTGCTACCATAGTCCTTCTAAGTCCTCTGTTCTCCAGGCTTAACCCATCAATCTTTCTTTTGCACAACTTGGTTTCTGGCCCCTGCTCATCCTTCCTTCCCTTTTCTGGCCCTACAACAGATCGAGAATAACAGTTTCTTTCAAACTATGAAAGCATATACTTTTTCTTAAAACTTCTGTCATGCACCAATGAACCCCCTGTGTTCATGACAGGAACTGCAAAATACAAAATAGTGATTAATGGATTGATTATATGCCATCAACTCTGGTTTCCATATCTGAGATTCACTGTATCTCTTCTAGCTCTTTCTCCCACCTCCAGACCTCCAGTGGCAGCTGATTGCTTTACAGTCAACTTCATTGCAACCAATTTGATCTATAGACCACAGATGGCTAATCCCACATCAAGGATTTTCAGCTCAACACAACGATTCTTGGTTAATTTGGTAAGAAGACCAATGCATACTTTGTCCAATAGTTCTTCCACATAGGACTTTCATAATATAATCAGCAATAGTGTTTTACTATTTGCCATACATAGGCTTTTCATTAAACCAATTCAAGGTCTCTTATGTAAATTGGTGAGAAGACAAATGCATACTTACCCCAGTAGCTCTTCCACATTAGAGTTTCATAAAATAATGGGTAATCATGTTTTACCATCAGCAATAAATACATAGTTTTTCCTTTACACCTAGCTTGGACAAATATTGAACACCAGCAAGACTGGTCTTGATTTGATCAACTGTAGTTTATCAACATTAAGGTAAGTAATATTGGATGGAGTTTTTTTCGTGATATCTGTTAAGGGAATGAAAGTATTCTAATATGGACTTCTCGCAACATCTAATCCTATTTGAGATAACCCGTAGTTTGTTTCAGTTCCAGTCTGTAACATATCACATTGAGATACAAATCTCTAGAAGAGTCCTTAAAGCATTTTCATCCCAAACCATTTCTTTACTTCAATATTAAGTTCCTATCAGTGTACTGGAGGCTCCATGGTTAGCTTCCTCCGTGCCTTCCCAAAATCAGGTTTCAAGTGGAATTTTAAGTTTAAAAACACCAGGTTAAAAATGCTGTTGGAAAAACTTCAAAAAGAGAGTGACAGAACTGTGTCTGTCTAATGTAGGGAGCGATTCAAGAATGAAATCAGCTAGGGAATACTCAGAGGGGATTCTGACTAGTTAAACCAGGGTAAAGAAAACTATGAGTTAGCACAGAACAAGCCAGTGTCAACAAAATGCTCCAGATTTCAATAATGTAGCAGAGCAGTATTAAGTCTGAACTGGAAGACCTCACCTTTTACTTTTCGGCCTGCCAATATATCCAAGTGCGACCTTGCCTCTGTGAAATCATCCAAAGTCCTCTACAGCTTCTCTGAATATGTCTCAAGTTGTGTCTTTTCATTCTCAGATCTGTGAATGAGGGCAAGAACACCGGAGTAGACAGTGTCTGCTGCTATCGTAAAACCACCACAGCTCCCCCTTTTGATCGAGTGAACATATATCGCAAATTCATAAATGAGACCAACGGTTTCACCAAGTTGGAGAGATACAGCCTGGACCCAAACAGCCTTTTTGTTAATGGTAAGAAGCAGAGATTTCTTTCATGACTAAAGAGATTATGAGGCTGGCCAGCACTGAATCGAGTTTGACCAGTGTTATGTAACTTAAGTGGTAGTTCCTCTTTGTGACACATGATGGAGAGATGCCAGAGATGCTACAAGACTTTCTTTAGCTCTACCAAACTCGGGCTACAAAAAACCTAGACAATCACTAGATGGCAGCAGTGTCTATTAACGTCTCATGATCATTTGGAGTTTTGCAGTCAGACATGTGGATGATTTTTTTCTGACACTGTCCCAGGACCTTCTTACAAGAAATCATTGGACTAGGTGGACACTTTACATAGAGTTAGTCACAGTGGTCTACTTTAAAACTGCTGCTATTTGGGGACCTTCAGGATAATCCACAACCCTACTATCTGAGATTCGTTGATATGGAGTAGTTGGAAGTGTGTAGAAAGAATTTATCGTCTCTTCTTTTTCTCATGATGGAGAGCTTGAGAGTGACTTCCCATAGTAGTGTGCTTTGTGCCTCCTTTTGTGACTCTCTTTCCATTTTTGCAACTCTCTTTCCATTTCAGATTATCATGAAGCATCACCTCCGACCAGTAAGTACACCTTTACAGAGGTTTCTTGAGTCATGGACTCCTACTGTGGTACACAATGTAAAATGTCCAACCTTGTCCCAAATATACCGATTGCAGAGCAAGTAAAGCAGTATGCTCTAGAGGTGTTTGCCACAAATGATGGGTTAAATATTGAGAAGAAGCAGGTTAGATATTGAGAAGATTTTTCCATACAGTAAAAGGTGTCAATCAGTGCACCATGTCAATTCCCAAAATGATGTGTTTAGGAGAGCTCTTCAAACAGAGAGTGGATACTGATTTCTGATATTCCAACTCTGATTTTGACCATGAGGAATAGTTCTGTAACACTGAACCAGAATCTACTTTGTGAATTTATTCTGCATCTTGGGATGTTACAGAACAGCCCATTACCTTCTGTATAATATCCCATTACATTCTTGAAAAGTGCTACCATAGTCCTGCTCAGTCCACTGTTCTCAGGACTTCATTAATCCATCTTTCTTTTATACAATTTGGTTTCCAGCCCTTGCTCGTCCTTCTTGCCCTTTTCTGGACCCACAACAGATTGAGAATAAGTCATTTTCAGACTGTGAAAAGCACATGCTTGTCCTTAAACCTCTGTAATGCACCACTGAACCCTGTGTTCATGATAGGAACTGCAAGATACAAAACAATGATTGATGGATAGATTATATACCATCAGTTCTGGTTTCCATATCTGAGATCCATTATTTCTCTTCCAGCTGTTTCTCCCACTTCCAAACCTCCAGTGGTAACTGAATGCTTTACACTCAACCTCACTATCAAGAATTTGATGTATAGGCCACCGATGGGTAATCCCAAGTCAAAGCTCTTCAGCTCAACACAAGGAGTGCTTCGTAAATTGGTGAGGAGGCAAATGCATACTTACCCTAATAGCTCTCCCAAATAGGACTTTCATAAAATAGTCAGCAATAGTGTTTTACTACCAGTAATAAATACATAGTTTTTTCCTTTAAACCTAGTTGGGACAGATATTGAACACCAGCAAGATTGGTCCTGATTTGATCAACTGTACTTTATCAACATTAAGGTAAGAAATATGGAATGGAGATTTTTTGGGGGTGATATCTAAGCGGATGAAAGGATTCTAATATGGACTTTTTGCAACATCTAGTCATATTTGTTTCAGTTCCACTTTGTAACATTTCACGTTGATATACAAATCTCTAAAAGAAATTCTTTCAGCATTTGCATCCCAAACCTTTTCTTTGCTTCAGTCTTCATTTGCTATCACTGTGCTGGTGGCTCCATGGTTAACTTCCTTCATGCCTTCCCCAAATCAGGTCTGAAGTGGAATTTAAAGTTTAAAAACACCACATAAAAATATTGTGAGAAACAACTCCAAAAAGAGGGTGATAGAACTGTCTCCCTGTAATGTAGGGAGCCATTCAAGAATGAAATCAGCTAGGAAATACCCAGAGGGGATCCTGAATAGTTAAACCAGGAGGAAGAAAAATGGGAGGTGGCACGCAGATGGAACAAACCAGGGTCAACAAAATGTTCAAGGCTGCAATAATGTAGCAGACCTGTATTAAGTCTGAACTGGAAGACCTCACCTTTTACTTTTCGGCCTGCCAGGTAGATCCAAGTGCCACCTTACCTCTGTGAAATCATCCAAGGTCCTCTACAGCTTCTCTGAATACATCTCAAGTTGTGTCTTTTCATTCTCAGATCTGTGAATCAGGGCAAGAACACCGGAGTAGACAGTGTCTGCTGCTATCATAAAATCACTGCAGCTCCCCCTTTTGATCGAGTGAACATATATCGCAAATTCATAAATGAGACCAATGGTTTCACCAAGATGGAGAGGTACAGCCTGGATTCAAACAGCCTTTTTGTTAATGGTAAGAAGCAGAGATGGCTTTCATGACTAAAAAGCCGTGGTGATGCAGTAGTTAGAATGTAGTATTGCGGGCTATTTCTGCTGATTGCTGGCTGCTTGCAGTTTGGCAGTTCAATTCTCACCGGCTCAAGGTTGACTCAGCCTTCCATCCTTCCAAGGTAAGTAAAATGAGGACCCAGATTGTTGGGGGCAAAATGCTGACTTTGTAAACTGCATAGAGTGGGCTATAAAGCATTGTGAAGGGTATATAAGTCTAAATGCTATTGCTAAAGAGGTTATGAGGTTGACTGGCACTGAATCGGTTCTGATCAGTGTTATGTAACTTACGTGATAGTTCTTCTCTGTGACACCATGGAGAGATGCCAGAGGGGTACAAGACTTTTTTTAGCCCCACGAAATTTGATCTACAAAAATCTAGATGACCACTGGATGGTACCAGTGTCTATTAACACCTCATGATCATTTGGAGTTTCACAGTCCAGATGTGTGTCTCTGATCTTCCTGATTTTTTTCTGATGTTGTCCCAGGACCTTCTTACAAGTAATAATTGGACTAGGTCAGGGGTAGGCAACCTTGGCTCTTTTATGACTTGTAGACTTCAACTCCCAGAATTCCTGAGCCAGCCATCCTGGCTCAGGAATTCTGGGAGTTGAAGTCCACGAGTCATAAAAGAGCTAAGGTTGCCTACCCCTTGACTAGGTGGACACTTTATATAGAGTTAATCACAGTGGCCTACTTAAACTAACGATTGCTGCTATTTGGGGACCTTCAGGATAATTCGCAAACCTATTACCTGAGATTCATTGAGATGGAGTAGTTGGAAGTATATAGGAAGAATTTATTGTATCTTCTTTTTCTCATGGTGGAGAGCTTGAGAGCCAACTTCCCACATCAGTGTGCTCTTGTGCCTTCTTTTGTGTCTCTCTTTCCATTTTTGCACCTCTCTTTCCATTTCAGATTATCATGAAGCATCACCTCCGACCAGTAAGTACACCTTTACAGAAATTTCTTGAGCCATGGACTCCAACTGTGGTACACAATCTAAAATGTCCAACCTTGTCCCAAATGTACCGATTGCAGAGCAAGCAAAGCAATATGCCATACAGGCTTTTGCCACAAACAAAAGGTGGAAACCACAGGGATGTAGAAGCAGGTTAAATATTGAGAAGATTTTCCAGATAATGAAAGGTGTAACCTAGTGCACCATGCCAATTCCCAAAGTGATGTGTTCAGTAGAGATCTTCAAACAGAGAATGGGTATTGATTTCTGATATTCCAATTCTGATTATGACTATTAGGAATAGTTCTGTAACACTGAACAAGAATCTGCTTGGTGAATTTATTCCGCATCTTGGGACTTTACAGAACAGCCTATTCCCTTATCTATAGTATCCCATTACATTCTTGAAAAGTGCTACCATAGTCCTTATGAGTCCTCTGTTCTCCAGGCTTGACTCATCAATTTTTCTTTTGCACAACTTGGTTTCCAGCCCCTGCTCATCCTTCTTGCCCTTTTCTAGACCCAATGCAGATTGAGAATAACAGTTACTTTCAAACTGTGAAAAGGATATGCTTGTTCTTAAACTTCTGTTAATGCACCACTGAACACCCTGTATTCATGACAGGAACTGCAAAATACAAAATAATGATTGATGGATTGATTATATGCTATCAACTCCAGTTTCCATACCTGACATTCACTGTATCTCTTCTAGGTCTTTCTCCCACTTCCAGACCTCCAGTGGCAACTGAATGCTTTACAGTCAACTTCATTGCAACCAATTTGATCTATAGGCCACAGATGACTAATCCCATATCAAGGATTTTCAACTCAACACAACGATTCTTGGTTAATTTGGTAAGAAGACCAATGCATCCAATGGCTCTTCTACATAGGACTTTCATAATAGTGTTTTGGTATTGGCAACAATTACATATTTTTTTTCTTTATACCTAGCTGGGAGATATATTGAAAAACAGTGACATTGGTCGTGATTTGATCAACTGCCGTTTATCAACATTAAGGTAAGCATTATGGATTGGAATTTTTTTAGGGATCCGTAAATGCCGTACTACGGGGATTAATGGATTCTAATATAGATCTCTCACAACACCTTGTCATTTTTGAGAGAACCCATAGTTTATTTCTAATCCATTTTTTAACATGTCATTATTATCCCCATTCTAATTTCTAAAGATCTTGGTCTGTCATTTTCATCCAAAACAATTTATTTGCTTCAATATTTGGTTGAAATTAGCTTAAAATAAAGAGGGGCATACTAAATAGTCAAACCAGCAGGAAGAAAAAAATGATACAAAGCAGTGTCAAGAAAAGAATCAAGGATATATGTTGCTGTAATACAGCAGAGCTGAACTCGAAGTCCTTTCATACTTCAGACTGCCAGGTAGTTCCAAGATCTGTACACCTGTTGTGAATATATCTTTATTTGGATCTTTTCCTTCTCAGATCTGTAAATCAGAGAAAGTACACTGAAGTAGACAGTGTGTGCTGCTATCGTAAAGCCGCTACAGCTCCCCCTTTCGATCCAATCAATATATATCAGAAATTGATAAATGAGACCAACCATTTCACCGAGATGGGGAGGTACAACCTGGATCCAAACAGCCTTTTTGTTAATGGTAAGAAGCATTAGTTTTGCTTTTGTGACTAAAAACCTTTGAGGCTGTCCAGCACTGAATTACTTCTGACCAACATTATCTAACTTAAATAGTAGTGTGTCTCAGTGACAGCAACGAGAGATGCCAGTGGGCTACAATTTTGTTTCTATGTCTACCGGATTTGGGTTACAAAAATCTGGATAATTGCTAGATGGCAACAGTGCTTATTGACACCTCATGTTCATTTAGAATTTTGTAGTTTTCTCTGGTAATGCCCAAGGACTTTCTACAAGCAAACATTGGGCTAGATAGACACTTTATATTGAACTATTGTTATCCTATTAGAAAGCAAGTAATTGCCACCCAAAGAGGATTATCACATCACGTAAATTTTGTACAGAATTCCTTAGAACATCGACATTGCTTGGTGTACTTTATAGAGATACCCTTTCATGTTTAGGATGGACCTGGCCTAATGTGTCAAGGAGTTAAAAATGGCGGCATGTTGTGTGTACATTCAAACTTTTCTTAATAAATGATGAATTTTATCAGATGGGAAAAAGTTGATGATTTTGAAGAAAGAATGGAAGAAAGATTTGTAAAATTAAGAGAGCAGATAAAAGAAGATGTTGCTAAGAGAATGTAGACTTTAGAACTCATGTCAGATCAGCTATTCTTAGAATGTGTAATAAATATAAATTCTGCCTGAAAACACCTTTTTGGCTTTCAGTGCAAGAAGCATTTTACAAAAGAGAAATGATAAGTGTTTCATTTATTGTGGTGTATTAAAATTTTCACAAGGGGATTGTAAAATGAAATCAAGAAAAGATTTAAGAACAAAATATTCTTGTCAATGTTTTTCTTATGTACACTTATCAGAAAATTTTAGTGGATAAAAGATTTTGTGGTTTAGAACAATATGAGACTGAGTTTGAAATATAACTATGTATTAATGATGAACATGTCATTGCTAAGATGTACAAACCTCTGATGAAATATCAGAAGAACACATGAAAGAATGTATGATAAAATGGGCTAAATTTTTTGGCTACAATATACAAATGGATCAATGGGAAAATATGTGGCTAAAAGATTGAAATTTAGATTATGTTGTAATCTCAAAGAGAATTTTTATAAAATGATGTACACTGCTATCTGTCAGCAGAGAAACTGTTTAAAATGTATAAAGGCACTTTGAATGTTTGCTGGAAATGTGAACAATATGAAGGAACAATTTAATCACATTTTGGTGGACATGTAAAAAAGTAAAAACATCTGGAAACAAATACATACTGTACATTAAGAAGATTGTAAAGGTTAAAACTGCAACCAGAGACTTTTCTTTCGGGATGAATGGACAGGCAACTAGAAAAAAGCCGTGGAACTTTCTTTTATATATGATAACTGCAACAAGACTATTATATGCTCAAAAGTGGGAAGATTCGACACTAGCCACAATAGAGGAAAAGATGATGAAGATGATGGAACTAATGGAGATGGCTAAATTAACTTCTTTAATCAGAAAAAAAACCAATACCTACATTTATGGCTGACTGGAAATTTCTTCTAGACATTTTGCATTAAACAGAAAAATATATTTATGATTTGTGGTTTTGATTAGAAAAAAATGATAATAAAAAGTGTGCTTTTTGTAATATAGAATAAGAGATAATTTTGTAATTGTACTTATATTTGCTGCAAAGAAAATTGGAAACTTTTTTCTTTTTCTTTTTCACATTTTTTCTTTTCACTTTCTTTGCTTTTTCACTCTTTAGTAGTCTGTGTTAGTTTTTTGGTTCTTAATAAAATTCTTATTAAAAAGTAACTTTATTAGGGAGGGAAGAGTCACAAATTTGTTTAACCATATTGTTATGAAAGTCAGAAATCACTTCTTTATACATTTATTTTCTCTTTCTTCATTATGCTCTTATTTTTCTTTTTCCTTGCACTTTTTGCTTCTTCTCTGTATTCTCTTTTTCATTAAATTTACTTTATATTAGATTTTACTGTTATAATCAAAATTCTTAATAAAAATTATAATCAAGGAAGCAGCCATGACTATGACTGCTTTGAATTATGCTCGATAGTAAAATGGGAAAAGAAAGAAAAAGAAAAAATAGCAGATTGCTTCTTGTTTCCTTCTTTTAGGCTATTCACCATCTACAACTGATTCAGCTCCAGGTCTAGTAGGCTATGAGCTTGGTTTCAAAATTATCAACAAGAACTTGACCAATACAAATCCATTATCACCAGAATATAAGCAATTGATCGGTTCCATCAGTAATGAGGTGAGGATTTTCACTTAGAAGTCCTCTACTACAAACCCTGAATAGAAACATGATAGGCAAATACCATGAGATGGTGCTATTGCAAGTCTCTCTCACATTTTCTAATTCCCTTTCTTTGTAGGATGTTTTTGAATTAATTTTCCTAATCTGCATCCATACCTTCCACAAACTGGCATACCTACAACTTTATAGTAACAATAAAGTAATTCAGGAAGAGAATGTCCATTAAATCTGAATGTCCATTAAATTCAAATATATCACTTTATCAATCTCAGAGCAAGAGATTTAAAAGTGTAGATTTAATCTTAATAGGATTTAATTTGATTTGATTCCAGTTGAATCAACTCTTCCAACAGAGTTCCATCAACGATGGATTCAAAATTTGTGCTGTAACTAAATTAAGGTCAGTATTTATCAAAGGTGACTCTGAGCAAGATCTTGATGGCATCATTATGTTCATAAACAATTAAATCAAAACCAAGTGAATTATGTTATGGATCATTATGGTGTGTGAATTCAGCCAGATGTGGCTTACTCAAGAAACTATAATTATGATTTCATGAAATATTTAAACTATGTCTATACACTCATTTGTTTAGATCTTATCTGTCTTTAATACGAAGCACTTGAAGATACCACCTAACTCTGTCCATATGAAACTTTTAACAGAGATAGTATTCTCTAGGTGAGGGTTTGTTTTTGCAGCATACTAGGAAACTATCAGTGCTGCATTAACCTTTATTATGAAGGTGGGATGTTAGTCACTTAGCTGGCTATGGTTGAAGGAACCTACAAGTAATAAAATAAAAATAAGAAAGAACAGTATTTCCCAATTCACATTCTCCTAAACAGGGGTAGGCAACCTTGGCTCTTTTATGACTCGTGGACTTCAACTCCCAGAATTCCTGAGCCAGCCATGCTGAGGGGAAAGGGAGAGTTTCCAAGCTGAGCCATGCTGGCTCGGGAATTCTGGGAGTTGAAGTCCACGAGTCATAAAAGAGCCAAGGTTGCCTACCCCTGTTGGACCTAGCACTTTAGGCTTTTAACTTCCAGAATTCCAAACCAGCATGTCTGTAAAGGAACAAGAGTCCTCTTTCCCTTCCTTACCCACCTTTTCAAGTAAAGTAGAGCAGATGCTGCAGGGAAGACATCAAAATAGCACTCCCCAATTTTTACCTTTCTTCAGACTTTTCAATTATGACACAATTTAGAGCTACTGAAAATCAGGGCTTTTTTGTCATAAAACACCCAGAACGGAGTTTCGGCACCTTTTTTGGATGGAACCTTGTTTGGTAGGCAAGGCTGGTTGTATGACATGTGTGAGTTCCGGCACCTTTTTTTTTTTTTTTTTTTTTTTACAAAAAAAGCACTGCTGAAAATAAAGGAGAATTTTATTCCTTGCCTCTTTCCATTGCTTTCCATCCACTTACCTATTAACTAGCATTGGATAGCTGGGCCTAACTAACTCTTTGCAAGTTCATCAGGAGCTCTCTAAGCTCTCTGCAACTTGGGGGGGGGGGAGAGAAAGTGCCTCAAAGAGTGTTGTTGTTTGTTAAAGGGGAAATCGGAAAGAATAACAAACTATGGGTCAGAAACAGAATGCCCATTTAAGGCATTGGGTCACATTCATTCCTTACTGCAGCTAGGCCTACCATGGGGATCTTCCTTCACTAACAGATTAGTCCTGGAAAATGCAGCTTTCAGCACTAAAAAGGTTGCTAGGCCCTGCTGCTGCTGAGCTAGGTGTCTTAGGAAAGATATTCCAAAATAATCAAACATGATAATATTGATATTGATTGAAAGAATTCAATCAGAATAGAGCTGGAAGAGACCTTGGAGGTCTTCTAGTCTGACCCCCTGCTCAAGCAGAGACCCTATACCATTTCAGAAAAGTGACTGTCCAGTCTTTTTTTAAAAGCCTCCAGTGATGAAGCACCCACAACTTCTGATGACAAGCTGTTCCACTGGTTAATTGTCCTCACTGTTAGGAAGTTTCTCCTTAATTCCAGGTTGCTTATCTCCTTGATTAGTTTCCATCTATTGTTTCTTGTCCTGTCCTCTGGTACTTTGGAAAATAAGTTGACTGGCTCCTCTTTGTGGCAACCTCTCAAATACTGGAATACTGATATCATGTCACCCCTAGTCCTTTTTTTCTCTAGACTAGCAAAACCCAAATTCTGCAACCGTTCTTCCTATGTTTTAGTCTCCAGCCTTTAATCATCTTAGTTGCTCTTCTTTGCACTTTTTCCCAACATTTCAACATCTTTTTTGTAGTGTGGCAACCAAAACTGGTTGCAGTATTCCAAGTGTGACCTTACTAAAGCTTTATAAAGTAGTACCAATACGTCACATGATTTTGATTCTATGCCTTGGTTTATACAACCCAGGATTGTATTAGCTTTTTTGGCTGCTGCTGCACACCGTTGGCTCATATTTAAGTGATCATCCACTAGGATCCTTCTCACAGTTACTGTTTTTGATCCAGGTTTCACCTGATCTGTACTCGTACCTTTGGTTTTTCCTGCCTAAATGTAAAACCTTGCTTTTCTCCACATTAAATTTCATGTTGTTGCCCATTGTTCAAGTCTGTAAGATCTTTTTGGATCCTGAGCTTATCTTCTGAGGTGTTGGCTATTCTTGCCAGTTTAGTGTCATTTGCAAATGTGATGAGTTCCCCTTCTATTCCCTCATCTAAGTCATTTATGAAGATATTGAAGAGTACTGGGCCTAAGACACAACCTTGTTGTACCCCACTGCTTACTTCTCTCCATGTAGATGTAGTACCATTAAGGACAACTCGTTGAGTACAGTTTGTCATCCAGTTACAAATCCATCTGGTGATGCTGTCTATTCCACATTTTTCTAACTTACCAAGAAATAGGTTGTGGTCTACTTTCTCGAATGCCTGGCTGAAGTCTAAGTATACTATGTCCACAGTATTTCGCTGGTCTACTAACAGAATAACAGAATAAGAGAGTTGGAAGGGACCTTGGAGGTCTTCTAGTCCAACTCCCTGCTCAGCAGGAAACCGTATACCATTTCAGACAAATGGCTGTCCAATCTCTTCTTAAAAACTTCCAGTGTTGGAGCATTCACAGCTTCTGGAAGCAGGTTGTTCCACTGATTAATTGTTCTAACTGTCAGTAAATTTCTTCTTAGTTCTAGGTTGTATCTCTCCTTGATTGTATCTCTCCATCCGTTGCTTTTTCCTGCTGTCAGATGCTTTGGAGAATAGATTGACTCCCTCTTCTTTGTGGCAGCCCCTTAGATATTGGAACACTGCTGTCACATCACCCCTAGTCCTTCTCTTCATTAAACTAGACATACCCAATTCCAGCAACTGTTCTTTATATGTTTTAGCCTCCAGTCCCCTAATAATCTTTGTTGTTCTTCTCTGCCTGCACTCTTTCTAGAGTCTCAACATCTTTTTTACATCATGGTAACCAAAACTGGATGCAGTATTCCAAGTGTGGCCTTACAAAGGCATTATAAAGTGGTATTAACACTTCACGTGATCTTGATTCTATCCCTCTGTTGGCTTTTTTGGCAGCTGCAGCACACGGCTGGCTCATATTTAAGTGATTGTCCACTAGGACTCCAAGGTCCCTCTCACAGTTATTACTGTTGAGCGAAGTACCCCCTATACCAGTGGTTCTCAACCTGTGGGTCGGGACCCCATTTGGGGTCGATCGACCATTTCATGGGGGTCGCCAAGCAAGGCTGTCTGGCATTTTTTTTGTCCGCCATTTTTTTTGTCCGCCATTTTTTTCCCCTTTTCCGGCGGGTGCCTTACCTCCCTTGGGCTGGGCCAGCTGGTGGTCGGCCTGCTCCATCTCTGCCGCTTGCCAGCTACGCCTCGGCCGGCACAGGGGGCGGAACCACGCATGCGCGGCGCTCCCGGGCAGGGAAAGTCCTCGACTTACGACCGGTTGGGTAGTCCTCGACTTACGACCAGTTTAGTCCTCGACTTACGACTGGTTTAGTCCTCGACTTACGACCGGTTTAGTCTCGACTTACGACCGGTTGGGGTCGCGGCATTAAAAAGGTTGAGAACCACTGCCCTATACTGTACCCATACATTTGGTTTTTCTTGCCTAATATAGAACCTTACTTTTTTCACCATTGAATTTCATTTTGTTAGATAGCATCCAATGTTCAAGTCTGTCAAGATCCTCCTGTAACTTAAGCCTATCTTCTGGAGTGTTGGCTATTCCTGCCAACTTGGTGTCGTCTGCAAATTTGATGAGTTCCACATCCCTCATCCAAATAATTGATTAAGATGTTGAAGAGTACTGGGCCTAAAACAGAGCCTTGGGATACCCCACTGCATATTTCCCTCCATGTGGATGCAGTTCCATTGAGGACTACATGTTGAGTGCGGTTGGTCAACCAGTTATGAATCCATCTGGTGGTGATGCTGTCTAACCCACATTTTTTATCTTATCAAGTAGTAGGTTGTGGTTTACTTTATCTAATGCCTTACTAACGCCCAAGTAAATTATACTAATACTAATTTAGACTATACTAATTTAGTCACTTTGTCAAAGAATGAAATAAGATTGGTTTGGCATAATCTGTTTTTAACAAACCCATACTGACTTTTAGTTATAACTTTATTTGTTTCTAGATGTTCACAAATCAGTTTGATTTTATCTTTTCCGGTATCTTCTCAGGCATTAATGTTAGGCTAATTGGTCTGTAGTTTCCTAGGTCTGTTTTTCCCCGCCCTTTTTTGAAGATGGGAACCACATCAGCTCTTTTCCAATCCTCAGGTAATTCCCTGGTGTTACAGGATTTTTAAAAGACATGGTTCTGAGATAACATCTGCCAGCTCCTTCAGAACAGTGGGATGTAATCCATCAGGTCCTGGTGATTTATATTCATCAAGACCAGATAGGTGTTCTCTAATAATTTTCTTGCTTATTTTAATTTTTATTTCTAGCCTGTCTTTTACAGTATGTTTTTGGTAGGTTGGACTATATAGCTTCTTTTTGCGTGAAGACTGATGCAAAGAATGAGTTAAGCAACTCTGCTTTCTCTTTACTGCTTGTTACTTCCTTGCCAGCTTCTCTCTTAAGTGGACTGACTGTTTCCTTGACCTTGTTATTTATATGTTGAAAGAAACTTTTTTTAAATTATCTTTGACATTTGTTGCAAATTTTTGTTCATTCTGAGCCTTTGCTTTCCCGACTTCATCTTTGCAGATTCAGGATATCTGCTGATACTCTGCCTTAGTTATGTGTCTCTCTTTCCATTTTTTGTACTTGCCCTTTTTAGTCTTTCAGTTTCACAAAGAAAGATCTTTGTGTAACCATGCTGCTTTCTTCTTGGATTTCTTGTTTTTCTTTTTCAGTGACTGGGCTTTTGTGATCATATTTTTCAGAGTTTCCCACGCTTCTTGAGTTGTTTTCCCCTTTAGGATTTTCATCTATTGATTTTTTTTTTTTAGGCTCTCTCTGAGTTTGTTAAAATCAGCTCTTTTAAAGTTTAAGACACTGGCTGGATTATGTTCCATTGCTTGTGTTTGCATTATATTGAATTCCAATATGACATGGTCACTCTCATCCGCAGTTCCAGCAACTTCAACTCCCTCTATCACTTTTTTTTTATTACCGTAGTAAGAATTAGGTCTAGCTTTTCCTCTAGGTCCCTTCTCCCAACTTTTGGATGACAAAGTTGTCAGCTAGGTTGGTTATGAATCTGTTTGATCTCCCACTTGCTGCAGAGTTTGTCTCCCATTTGATATCAGGGTAGTTAAAGTATCCCATTACTACTGTGGCATATTTCCTACATACATTTGTTTGTTGTTTAGCAAAAAGTTCAACTATTTCTTCTGCTTCGTTGGGTGGCCTGTAGTATACACCTATAGCAATGTCATTCTTTTTTCCTTTTATATTGACCCATATGGATTCTAGGAGGTTTTCATCCTTGTTTTTGTGGATTTCTATAGAGATATAGTGATCTTTTATATGTAATGCAGCTCTACCTCCTCTTTTGTTAGGTCTGCTTCTTTTGAATAGATTTATTTTTAGGTAGTTGAGAAGCCTTTGACTAAGATAGTAGGAAATATAACTCTCAGTGGTTTTGCTGGCTAGAAATTTTGCATCACTGAAAAAGCCATTTATGGCAAAGAGTTATGAAGTTTCAGCATACTATAGTAGGAATCTTTTGTTCTGTATACATTTTAATCATCAAGACATCAAAACTCAAGATGACTTTGAAAATTGCCTCTGAAAATGTCTGATTTTATTTATCAGTAATATCATTTGAAATGCTTTTGTGTATTAAAACATTTTACTGCCAGTCTGACTTGCTTCCTAGCTTTAGTCTGAAGTCAGCCCATGTTTCTTTTTTCTCTCTTCCTGAAACCCTACTATACTTTTTAGGATCGGTTCCATCATAGTTGATTGCAGGTGTTACTTCCATCCTGCAAGGAATATCAGCAAAGACACCATCAAAAATGTCTTTCAACGAGAGACCCAGAATGCCACCTCTCAGTGGCTGGGTAGCAGGTTCCAAATCATGGGCTTCACCATGGAAGGTATAAAGTTTGGCATGAACTAAAAGGATAATGGTCATTCATGTAGGCCTCAAGCCTTTAAGAAATCTATAATATCTCCTTTCCTATTACTTATGTAATCTGTCAGACAGACAGTTCTGAGCGCCTTGGTAACCTAGTGGTGAAGATACACACCTCCCACTTGGAAAATTGAGAGTTCAATCCTAGGTAACAGCAGATATTTCTCTCCTAGGGCACAAAGAAAAAAATATCTGCTGCAAACTCCACGCGGTGTCAGGAAGGGCATCTGGCCAGTAAATGCTCAGCTCCATCCAGTCGATAGATAGATAGATAGATAGATAGATAGATAGATAGATAGATAGATAGATAGATAGATAGATAGATAGATAGATAGACAGACAGACAGACAGACAGACAGACAGACAGACAGACAGACAGACAGATTGTTAACACTCTTAGGGTCTTTCAGAAGCTTATAATAACTTTGCTACAAGCCTTTTGGACTTGAAGTAAGAGAACCCCCACATGTGTGGAATGTTTGTTTGTTTACTATATCTGTTATACTATTTTTCCCCAAAGGCTTTAGGCAGTAACAGTGAACAATTAACAAAAACAACCCTAGATGCATATGAAATAAAAATCTATAAAAATAGGTGCCACAAATTCCATGTGTATACTATAAAAGACCATTCTCTTGTACCAATCTGAAGAGAAAAATATTTTTCTAAAACACAGGAGGGTTACATTAACTATATTTTAAAATTAAAATTATATAGTTTATTTATTTAATTAAATACTAATGTATATTATTATTGCCTTGTTGTTAGCTTTTATACACCATTTAGAATTGCCTTGACTGAGTGATTATTAAATGTATAAGTAAATAAATATTTGTTGTATTTGTGCACTCCTTTTTCTATGGAAAGTTCTTGAAACAAATACTGAAGCAGTAAACGATAAGCCCCCCCACATGCTAAAGGTAAAGAACTTCACTGTAAATTTCACCATTATCAACTTGCCATACAAGGACATGAACAATCCAAAGTCAGATGTTTATCAGAAAACCAAAGAGAGCATCAAGGATGAGGTAAATGGCTGAAAACATCTATAGAATTCATTGATGTTAAAGTCCCAAAATGTTTGCAGATTTTCTTCCTAGAAAAATACATAGCAGTAGTTCTACAGTTTGGACATTTTTGCAATAGAAGGCAGTGTGGTTGTTTTTTTTTTAAAGTGTTTTCCCTTAAAAAAAGATTGATGGATAGCAAATGTATCTCGCCCCTGATCATCTTTTTCCTCTCCAAATCTTCAAGTGTGTTCCTTTCTGCTCACAAGCAAAGTTTTTAAAATTAGAGCATGTTTAAGAGGAAGTATCACAATTACAATAAGACTGATTTTGGAAAGAAAAAATAATGTACCTATCTATTAGTCCACATGTCCCCTGCTTTTAAAGAAATAGGCTAGGAAAATGCAAGAATATTTACAAAAAGAACTGTTCTATTCATCCTCCATTTCAGAGTTAGAAGAGGAAAAGTGACCCTTCGGCAGATTCTCTAAATTAATAGATATCTTTGCCAAATGGAAGTCAGATACTAAAGTAGAGGATTGAGTAAGACCTGGTACATATTCTCCATTACCTAAAAGGCATCTTGGGCAGTTTAACATATCCAGAAAACATAATGCCCTGCAGAACAGCCAATCTGCAACAGATGCAATATCTAATAGCCAGCCTAACTCCGCAGGAATAGGAATGAGCAGGTCACCCCAAATTTGCTCCACTTTTCAATTCACATGAGTAGGCCAGTCCATTGCATATTAATTGCTAATTTTTTATCGTGGAATTCTTCACTTAATGTTATTTTATATTTTTTTTAAAAAAAATTAAACATATTTAATTTTATTGATTACATTGTAGCCCAGCCAGAGGAAAATTAGTAGTTGTTAATACAGGCGGCGGGGTGTGTGTGTGTGTCATGGGGCCAGCCAATCCCATGGTTATGTGGGCCCATAATATGAATTTGTAGTGAATTTCTTCACATTTGACACCATGGGCATTTGACACCTCTTAATTGAATGATAATGCTCAAGTTTTAGCCAGCACGTTCCTTAAAGCAGAATTAAATATGGAAGAAGTTTTCCATTTCAAACCTCAAGAAAAAGTGTCAAGAGGAATAGGTTTGGTTCTTTCTTAGCTCATTATCATTCCTGGTAGTCCATTAATCCGTCCTCTTCTTTTTCCTTGGAATAGCTCAACCATCTGTATCAACGCAGTGATCTAAACAAGAGTTTTCTAGGCTGTTCTGTGAAAAACCTGAGGTGCGTTTTTAAACAGAATTTAAAGCTAATTAAGTATCCAGATCCACATTCACAAATCTATTTGTTTGTATTTGCTATTGCTACTACTGTTCCAAAATTCTGAGTCCTTTTTTTTACATTAACAAATAAAAATCTCAGATCTTTATCTTCTCAACCTCACTTTTTAATATTTACCGTGGGTTGTATTTTCTTTTTCAGACCCACTAGCCATGAAACTCAAACTGGTGTCAATTCTATCTGCACATTTGCAATGGAGTTTGGTTCAAGGACTGTTGACAAAGACCTTGTGCATGATATATTTAAAAACCTGACTCAGAATGCTTCTCTAATGGGGAAATACAGCCTGGACAATAACAGCATAAATATTAATGGTAAGATGAGGGAAGCACAAGATATGTTTGACAGATACTATAAATTAGAAAAACAGAGACGAATCAAAATTAGAATCTTGGACTCTGGGCGGGGTCTTTCCCTGGGTGGGTGGGGGTATAAAAAAATCAAGATGGCAGTCATCACCATGCCATGAAAGCATCACATGTAAAAAAGAGGTGAAGCTTCTATTGCATGGTGGTGCTTGCCATCTTGGCTTGTTTGATCCCTGCAGGACTCTGCCTATCTTTTGCCCATTCCATATTTAATGAAATCCTTTCTTCCCTTCCATTCTTTTCCAGCATATCCTTCAGCCATGGCAACAAAACCATCCAAACAAGGTAATTAGGATCTTTTACCCCAAGATGTTTTAGCTTCAGATTTCAAAACCCCCATTCCTTCTGCATTGAACGAAATAAATGTAGGATTGTTATTGTATCAGTTCCTACAGAAAATGCTGTAAACTTAAACAGAATTAGCATAGTCTATCCAAAGCACATATACACGTGCACATGGATGTGTGGATATGGGTAGGGTGCAAATTTCATCATTAAATTTATGCATTTGCATTATTTATTATTTCCAGAGCTTCCTTATTGGGCCATCATCCTCATATGCTTCTCCGCCTTACTGGGTTCTATCTTTTTATTTCTTCTATGTGTCATGGTATGTATGAACTATACTTCAAAGTAGAGGGCTAATTATGAGTCTCTAACATAAGGAATCCTCAGCACTCTTCCAATAAATACCTGAAGAGTATGTTTTCTCAGAAGAATTTTAATAATAGCGGATGGGAATGTGATGAAGCGGTTCCCTTCAAGCCATTTTCATATTGAGACCTCCTAGATGTTGATGGAGGCAATTCTGGGAATGAAGGGCATTAAAAGCAGTTAATGGAACCAATGGAAAGGGCCTTCTGCTTGGTTTCTCCCTCTGACAAAGTCAGATGGAACTGAGACTACTGGCTCCTGTAGAAATGTCCATCATGAGAGAGAAAATGGACAAAAGAAGGAAGGCACTTCACTTGTATGTGCATAAAATGTATTTATTTCTGTCTTTAATCAGACTGCTGCCTGGGTGAAGAAGAGAGCAGGCAAGTATCAGATCCAAAGGAACATGTTTGGCCTTTATTTCCCACACATGGACATGCAGAAATCACAGTGATGTGGATTTTGGAAACTTGACGCCTTCCCTGCAGGAAGACCCTTTTTGCAGAGTTCCATTTTGCACATATTGTGCAGAAACATATGTTTACTATAGCTGGAATGAATTTCTAGATGAAAAAGAGATACTACATATTCTGTGGAAGAATGCCAGATTTAGAGGTTGATGGGGTGCCCTGTCATATTTATTTATTATGTGTTGTGAAACTTGGAATATCTTTTTAAATATCTATAAAAACTGTAGAGTAGATTATTTAAGTTCAAAAAAGAGAGATTCTGCCTGGAGCATGGATCAGTATTAAAAAAAGTTGCATCTTTTTGAGAATGCAAAGCACCAGTGAATTCTATTGCACATTAAAAATGTAAAAAAAGAAAATATATATTCTTTTGCTCAATCAGTAAACATTTCACTTGCTTTTGGTTTTGAAGCAGGAATTTTCTTCTTCAAAGACAATTAAGTTGTTGAAATGGAAGACTTACAGTATTTTTATTTGAGCTGCAATTATATCATATTGTACTGTACTGCACTGTACTGTAGTATCTGTTTTCAAAATAATGTATCTTGGGTAGAGATGATTTTCAATCCTTTTTTTAAACATTTCAAATGTTCCTGATTTCTTATAAATCAATAAACATGAGCAAGAAAATAAAAAAACAAAATGAAACCTAAACTTCTACCAAGAATCTAAAATGACTTTTTAAAAAAGAAATTCGCAGTATGTATGACTATGAACTCAAGTCTTAGAATATACAAAAAAATGTAAGTATGAAGAAATCAGCTTTAGTCAGAAGTGGCATAATTCTTTCTGCATTAATTTTGTGATTATACAGTATATAGCTAAAATTTAGTTGCCACCATCCCAAAATGATAAAGTATTTAAACCGAACTTATCTTTCCTCTTTTCAGTTCTTTTTCTAGCAGCAAAGTACCTTAGATGTGTAGGGATACAATTACAGTATTTTCTGCCTGTCATTCATTCACAGTGCTAGCGAATTATAAACAATTAAACTTTACTTAACAATTTTGTATTAGCAGCTAGTAGTGAATATGTTAAATCTGTTTAAAAGTCCAACTTACTGTGCTTCTTTACACAGTGATCATTCACTCTTTCACCAAAGGGTCTCTTTTTTATCTTTTATATACAGGTAAATAATAGTTTTACTTACTCAGCTAGATAAATTTCAGTTTAGTAGACCAGATGCAAAGGGGAAAACATCTGCCCATATGTTATATGCTTCAGTACAATTATAAAATTCCCTTCATGATTTTGTATATCTATAAAATTGCAAAATATGCACGCATAAAATCTCATTTCCATTTTAAATATTTGGAACATAACAGCTGAGTCATATAACATGCAAAGGTAAAGACTGGATTCCCTTATTTTAGCCTAGTAAATCATTTGCATTCTCAAGAAATGATACTTCTTGGAAAAAGGATTGCTTGCCTACTATAGAAGAATGGACGCTTAAAGTGTCAAATTTAGCAGAAATGGCCAAGATTTCTGCTTATTTGAAGGATCATTCACAAGAAAGATACATTTTGGTTTGGAGAAGATGGATAGATTATATTCAGAACAAATATGGGACTAAAAAGTTCCATTTGGCTTATGAGTAAATTTTAGAGTATTATTATTATTAATAGTTTATTATAGTGGAATTTTTGTTAGTTTTAATTATATGATATTATTATTATTTTTAGTATTAATATTGTATTGTTTAACAATTAGGTTGTTAATTTGTTTATTNTTAAAGGGGAGTTAAAGCGTGTTATGGACTTGGTTACTTAAATAGTTGGTTAATGTTAGTTAGATTATGATTATTATATTTGTAACCCTGTGTTCAGCTTTGGGAAGTGGGGGAGGGGGAGGGGGGCTTGGGGGTGGGTATGGGGGTTTATATTGTAATTTTTATAAAACTTTTAATTAAAAAAAAGACAAAAGAAATGATACTTCTTGGGCAGAGGTTGGGCTAGATGACCTACAAGGTATCTTCCAACTCTGTTATTCTAATTCTAATACCATGAAAACTTTGTGGGTATGTGAAAAAAGTGAATATGGGGGTTCCTGTCCTCATCCTTACTTTATTGAACTTTAGTTGGTCAAGTGTGATTCGACACAAGGAATTTACCTCTGGTATAGAAGCCCTCAGTGCACATGGCAAAGCAACAGAATAATAATAATCAAAATAATATCAATAAAAGAGGGGGGTAAAGAAGATAATAAGAAGGCTAAATGATAATAGTATAACCACACTACATGGGTAAATATACATAAACATTACACAGTACTCTAAGAATTAGCTGTTCAGCAGAGTGATGGCATGGGGTGGGGGGGAAACTGTCTAATTTAGGGGTGTCCAACCTTTTTGGATTAGTGGCCCAGTGGGAAAGGGAGGGGCAGGCGCCTTACATGTGTATGCACAAATGTGAATGTGGCCACATGTGTGTACGTGCGCACAAACAGGCTGCGAGCATGCACACCATGCAAATGGGGCTGCGAGCATGCACGCGAGGCTTTCAGCGACACCAGTGCCTGTGTGAGTGTTGTGCCACCACCGCCAGGCTTGCAGCGATGCTACCACCAATGTGACGATTGCACCACTACTCCACATGAGGTTCGTGCCACGGCCCACTTGTGGGGCTGCATCCATCCATGCAAGGTTCATGGCAACACCACTGCCAGCATGATACTAGCAGTGCTGCCACCGCCCACACAACATTCGCGGCACCGGTGGCATGAGGGGGAATGAGCATGCGCACATGCGTATGCACTGCCCAACTATTCACATGGCCTGGTGGCCAAGAGGCCACGGCCTGGTAATGGGCCATGGCCCAAAGGTTGGGGACCTCTGGTCTAATTGTCTTGGCATGCAAAATACTGCTGGTCTTTTCAGCATTGGATTATTTAGATAATTTTGATTTATTTAAACTAAGAGGCTTCCACATTTCTCAAGGAATAACAAGTGAGCTTTTCTGTGTGCTTGCACAGATAGTCCTCATTTAGCAACTGCCTAATTTAGTGATTGTTTGTAGTTATAACGATGATGAAAAAATAACTTTACAACAAATCTTTGCATGTATGACCTTTGCAGTTCTGTAAAGCAAAGGAAAGCTAAAGTAAAATCATAAGGACTGTCACAGTTTTGCTTAGTAATCACTTTGTTAACAATCAAGTTGCCAGTCCCAATAAAAGAGTGGTTACTAAACAAAAACTACTTGTCATCTTGACTCCTGGTGACTGCCTGGACCACTCCTTGCAATTTTCTTAGTATCATTTTCAGAAGTGATTTATCATTGCCACTTTCTTCCTAGGTCTGAGAGAGGAGAACTGGCCCAATGTCACGGAGCTGGCTTTGTGCCTAAGCAGGACTATAATTCACCATCTCCTGATGTAATAAGACAGCGGTTCTCAACCTATGGGTCGCGACCCCATTTGGGGTCGATCAACCATTTCACGGGGGTTGCCAAGCAAGGCTGTCCGCCATTTTTTTCCCCTTTTCCGGCGGGTGCCTTACCTCCCTTGGGCTGGGCCAGCTGGTGGTCGGCCTGCTCCGTCTCTGCCACTTGCCAGCTATGCCTCGGCCGGTGCAGGGGGCGGAACCACGCATGCGCGGCGCTCCCGGGCAGGGAAAGTCCTCGACTTACGACTGGTTTAGTCCTCGACTTACGACTGGTTGGGGGTCACGGCATTAAAAAGGTTGAGAACCACTGTAATAAGAGAAAATATGTCCTCAGGTTCAAACCAACCTCTGAGATACTTCATTTCTGAGGTAACACATGGGTGAACAACAACTGAAAAATTAGATCTCCTTGCTGCCACCCTGTTTCACCACACACTGGTTTCTCTCTTCCTCAACAGCCCTCTGGGAAACTAGGAGATGATTGAGGAAAAAACTCTCACCCCTGTCTAAATACAGAAGGGGAAAATAAACAAAAACTTTGTGTGTGTAGGCAAGTGATAGAAGGCCAACGGTCAATGGTTTGATTGAAACAAAACAACAGTAAACAAATAAATAAATAACCTTTGTGAAAGATATTAAAATAAAGTAAATTTCTACATGCACAATTGACAGTTTGAAAAAAAAAACATGGAGAAACAACCCTTAAAGCAATGGTAACTAAAAATTCTAACTCCTCAATTTCTAACCTTGTCTGAGGTAAATGCCCCCTTCACCTTTCAGGATTCCAGCCAACAGTCTCACCAAAAGTCTTCCCGCCAAAACCTGACAGAACCCCCTTCCTCTATTTCTACTGGCTATCTGGGATCATGTGACTTATTTTGGGCACAAAAGCCTTGTGATGTAAAGAGCTGGCTGCCTCCTTCCCTATGCCTCATTTCTACCTATGGAGCTTTCTGGAGAAAGAAGGTGGAGACACACTCTTTCAAAACAGCCCAGTTGGGGCCCACTTTATATGATACAGGGGGTCCTCAATTTACAAGTTTTTTTAGTGACCATTTGAAGTTACTATGGCACTGAAATAAGTGACTTATGATTGTTTTTCATATTTATGACCTTTGCAGCATCCCCACAGTCACGTGATCAAAATTCAAACGCTTGGCAACTGACATGTATTTATGACACTTGCAGTGTCCCAGGATCATGTGATCACCTTTTGTGATCTTCTGACAAGCAAAGTCAATGGGGAAGCCAGATTCCCCATTAACGTTGCAGTTATTCAATTAGTAAAACAACCGTTTTGCTAACTTAACAACAGCAGTGATTCACTTAATAACTGTAGCAAAAATGTCATAACATGGGGGAAAACTCACTTAACAACTGTTTCACTTAGCCATAGAAATTTTGGGCTCAGTTGTGGTCATAAGTCGAGGATTACCTTTAGTTACACTGACTATATTTTCTTGAAAAAAATAAAGGACAAACCTGAAAAGGGGGTAAATCTGAAAGAGGTTCATAAGGATTAAGGGAAAAAATGGTTTATGTTTCTAACTTTGCTTTACAAAGGAAAATCCGAGAGCAAAACCAAGAAAATTAATAAATAATTGTATTTTCCCTCTGTTCCTCACATTGTGGAGTTCACCTGATTGTCTCATGGAACTGGGTGATTTTCCATGTTGTGTGAAATCATTCATGATGTGACCTGCACACATGCAATTTCAAAATTGTAGCTCATTATCCATCATTTCCTATCCAACATTTCCAAGTCTTCATAGAGATAAGAAGTTAACAATACTGTCACACTTGGCTAGCTGAAAATTCTGCTGAAAATTCTAATGTGATGTCATAATTCTCCTTTATGTGTCTTGAATGAAAGCAAGTGCCTTTCATTTTAATGCAGTAGTAGAAGAAAGAAGGTGGGGTTTAAATGTTGTGAATCACAGTTTAATCTAGTGGAAGATAATTTAAGATCTATTTACAATGTCAATCAGCGGTTCTGGACCAACCACTCCAGATCCTTTGCAAGAAACAAACCCAGGATTTTCAGGATCAAAGAGTCCAGAGCAGAAGCCAGTGAGGCTGGGCCATGCAGGTAAAGAGACCTCTTCTCCAGGATATGCATCGGACCAGATGTCTCAATCTTGGACATCATCAAAAAAAGAAGAGCCCATAAGGAGCAGGTCACATTCTCCACATAAAGAGTGTTCTATTGTCAAGACAAGAGCAATTGTCATAGATACTGGTACAGGGACATGTAAGGCTGGTTTTGCAGGTCAGCAGACCCCCCAGGTAGTTATTGGGGCATTAGTTGGACAGCCCATAGAAAAATTCATGAAGATTGGAAGTGATATACCAGACACATTCATTGGAGAGCAAGCTCGATTGGAACCTGATATTGATATAATTTTTCCATTAAGGCATGGCATAATCACAGACTGGGAAGCAGCAGAAACATTGTGGTGGCACATTTTCCAGCATGAACTCAAGATTGCTCCAGAAGACCATGCACTTTTAATGTCTGATCCTCCTCTTTCACCAACTACAAACCGAGAGAAATTGGTGGAGGTTGTTTTTGAGTCCCTCAATTTCCCCAAAGTGTACGTGGCATATCAGTCGGTACTGTCAGTGTATGCTCATGGAAAAATTAGTGGGTTGGTAGTAGATACAGGCCATGCTGTGACACATACTGTACCAGTCTATCAAGGGTACAATTTGCCACATGCCACCGAAAAGATGGATATTGCTGGTGCCAATGTGACATCTTTTTTGATGGATCTCCTCAAAGACATGGGGCACTGCTTAGATGAAAAAATGCTGGATGTGATTGAAGATATCAAACAAAAATGCTGTTATGTTGCAGTTGATTTTGAGACTGAGTGGAACTGTCCAGAGGAAGACAATACAGTGCAATACCAATTGCCAGATGGCCAAATAATTACTTTGGGGAAGGAGAGATTCCAATGCCCTGAGATGTTGTTCAATCCACCACAAATGCCTGGGCTTGCTCTTCTAGGCATCCCTGGCATGGCCCAAAAAAGCTTAATGAATGTTCCTGAGCAAATCAGGAAAGAAATGTATAAAAATATAATGTTATGTGGAGGGTCATCACTTTTTGAAGGATTTGAAAGGAGATTTACTCAGGATATCATGACTGATTTGGAGACTAGCACAAAAATCAAAGTTACAGCTGTTCCACTCAGGCACTATTCTGTCTGGACAGGAGGTTCAGTTCTTGCTTCCTTGAAAAACTTCCAATCATGCTGGATCACAAAGGAACAATACCAAGAGTATGGACCATATATTGTGCACAGGAAGTGCTACTGAGTTGGGCCCAACCAGGTTTATTAGGATTAAAATGGCTAGGAAGTGGCTCATAATAAATCTTTGATTTGAAATGTGACTTGTATTTATTGGCTGCAGATTTAAATCTGGTCTCAGAATTAATACCTCTTCACTCCAAATTTTTTAGGGACCCAGCCATTATAATATTTTTTTCAGAACTGTAGCTCTATATCAAGCATGTCAAACTGCCAGCCCGTGGGCCGGAAGCGTCATTGCCGGCAATGGGGAAAAAGTCCCGTGACGTCGCGAGTTTGACATGCCTGCTCTATACACTTATGAGACATGAATATCCATTTGCTAGGGTTGGTTATCATGCCATCTTGCTATCCTTGATCATCTTGATCATCAGAATTAACCAACTCAATTACCTGTCTTTAAGATTCCACAGATATAATTACTGATACTGTCGCAACACACTAATATTGTTATTTCTCAGGAAGCTATTAATCATCTAAATATATACGACTAAAGATAAATGAATCAGTTCTCCAGATGAGCAAGAGATGTTAGTCAGAAAGCTTGAAGGAGTCCAGAGTCTTGTGTGACTTTTGCACTTTTCTGAATTTTGAATGCAGTGCACTCTTGTATATAAAATTTATATTTGGGAAAGATGTACTGTATACCTTGGGAAAGTAGTCTGCATATTATGCAGTGCCACCTGCAAAATTATGGATATTAAAGAAAGTTGTGTACAAAAAAGAGAACAGATTGGGAAAAGTTGTGTTCAATGTAGGGAAAATTACAAAAAATGCAGGATTGATGTGTGGACAATTAAAATGGATTAATAACTGAATATATGCAAAACTCAGCAATCCTTGCTGTAGCATGTTCTGCATCTACTGCACACAAACCTTGCAGCTCACAATCAATAAAAACGTGGGCAACCCTTTATCTCTGGCATCAGGCTTTATTTCTCCAAGTTATAATGACAAAATAGTGCTTCTTTAAGAATATTTTAGGAGAGCCGGTTTGATGTAGTGGTTAAGACACCAAGTTAGAAATGTGGAAATTGTGAGTTTGTCCCACCTTAAGTATGAAACCAGCTGGGTGACTTTAGGCCAGTCATTCTCTCAGTCCTAGAAAGAACACAATGGCAAAGTGCTTTTGAAAAACCTTGCCAAGAAAATTGCAGGGATTAGTCCAGGAGTCTAGACTGACTTGAAGGCACATTCCACACATGTCCCCACCCCTGGCCTGGAAAAAAGAAAAGTTCAGTTGTGTTAACATTCCGTGGTTTGAACATATTGCTTCTTCCTCCAAGTTTCTTGAAATAGGATTGGAATGGGTACTAGGCTGAGAGACAGTGATTGGCCCCAAAGTTGGCCAATAAGCTTTCACAGTTAAGAATAATCTCAAACTAGTTAGCAAGCTACTTCACATAGTTTTTTTGTGCCTTGCCAGCTAACATGGGAAATTTGGTTATTCTTCAAGATAAGATGAGCCACATGAGTAGTACCCCTACTATAATATTACTTTTGTTTGGGTTTTTTTCAAATAATATCTGGTATGAAATTGAGAAAAAATAATAATGGGAGAACAGAGAATAAATAATTATAAAGACAAAGGTAAGACAGGACTGAGAGAAAAATGAAATATATGAGCTGTGGTCTACTGAGAGGTTAAATATAGATTTGGGAGTTGGGAAAAAGGTTCACAGTCCAAGTCATGAGGCTAAGATGGGTAGGAATATAAATAAATAAATGAACAAACAAACTAGGAATAAGAAGGAATATCAAGTTTGTGCTTCATCTCTGGCTTCTTTGCATGTGGAATTTTACACTCTTCAGTTGTTTCATAGCCACAATTACTAAAAGGTTGTACATCTTCCTCATTCAGTCACATTCTAGATCAGACTGTTGAAATTAAGAAAGAACTCAAAGTTCATATGAACTTAAAAGGACTGTTCTGTTCAGTTCAGTTCAGTTCAAATATGCTAAATGAATTCCTGGGGTTGCAACTGTGAATGTAAAACACCAATATGTATAAAGCTATAATGAATCTAGATTTAGAGTACAGGTCTAATCACCACCTCTAATATATATATATATATGTAGGTCTTTGGCTATTCGGGTTTTCTCCCATGTAAAATTGGAAGTGTCTTGGCGACGTTTCGACGAAGTCCCATTCGTCATCTTCAGGCTGGTGTCTTCAGCTTCGTGCTTCTAGGAGTAGTGTGTGATTGCAGCTGTTTCTTCCTTTTAACTGCCAGTGGGGTTTGAACTGATTGGGTGGGAGCTTAGCTGTGTTCTGATTGGGTGGAGGTGTGTTCTGATTGGTTAAGGAGCTTGGCTGTGCTCTGATTGGATGGGGGGTTGGCTGTGCTCTGATTGGATGGGGGAGTGTTCTGTTTGGGTGGGGGCTTTGTTGTGCTCGGGTTACTCTGAGTTGCAGGGGGATTTGAGATGGTGAGCTTCATTGCTGTTGTTTGGCTTCGTGTTCGTGGTCGTGTCACATCTTTATGGTGGGTGTCAGTTTGCTTCATGTATGGATTGGAGGGGTTTAAAGTGGCTAATGATGCAGTTGTGGACTGGCTTCTAGTTTGTGGTTGTGCCTCATCATCTGTGTGGGTTTGGGTTTACTTTTTGCGTGGATGTGTGGTGGTGACCTCCTGTGTGGTTTTCGTGAGTGTGGGTCTGGTGTCATTCTTTGTGTTAGGGACTTGTTTGCCAATAAGGGCGGGTTTCCAAATGGCTGGTAGGTAGGAGGTATCATCTCGTTTATTCATGCTGTGTGGGCGTTTTTCTATCTCGATGGCTTCTCTGATTATTCTGTTGTTAAAGTGTTCAGTTTTGGCAATAGTTCTGGTCTTTTTAAAGTCAATTTTATGTCCTGTGGCTTTAAGGTGTTGGACCAGGGAAGAAGTTGGTTCCTCTTTTCTGACTGAGTTCTTGTGTTCTTC